TGGTTTATTCGAAATGGGCATCACTCAATGGCAACGTCTTCGCTTTATTTCAGGAAACCCCTTCCCCCCAGAGGCCACAACATCTTGGTCTTCATATATTCATGTAGATAAAGTTAGGGGTAGCCATCCAAATCATAGGATAGCTCATTAAGATCGCTGAACGTGGCTGTGGTTGCAGTTGGCCACCTTTTCTCTTAATTTAGTATATTTTCGCGCTACTTAATAGAGAATTAATTTTTGCTCAGATTATGTCTGTCACGGCGGTACAGACGAAAGCTTAGCACCGGTTCAACAGGTTCGCAGGACGATGAGCCGAGGACTTCTTCACATAATACAATAGTCTTTACTCCGCAACACTCCTCCCTCGTTTTTTGGTGAGACTATTTCACGAATATCTTCCAACCAACTTTTCCTCCGAAATGGGAATTCATGTTAAAATCCATCTATGCTGTAAAACTATGCATCATCCATTTAGAATTGAAAATATGAGCCAATAAAAGAATCTGCTCACCCCAGGGCTTGCCAACATTCGCCGAGGTCCCCCACCAAAGTTTATCTCAACCACAATGTTACGCAAAGCCAAAGCTGGGAAAAGTGCGGTTAGATTGGCGGGAAGCGTGAGACTGCCCGGTGTCAATGGGGGCATTGTCTCTGTCGTCTGCGCCGTTGCAGATGGCATAGCAGCACAATTTACTGCAGTTACTGCCGCCATCTCTGACAGGCCAGAGGCAGAAGCAACTCCACAGATGTGCCCATTCGAGCTATAACTGATGCCCAGACCAGCCCGCGAAGATCGTGCGAGTGAATGGAGAGTAGATGTACCGGATCTGAGGGATCCAGCCTGATGCCCGGAAAAAGAAAGAGCCGTGCAGCTATTGGAGGCGATAGTGTCGATTGCCGCAGAACAACCGACATTTCCAGCACTTGGATATGCGGAGGCTGAAGTAATCCCAATTCCAGCAGTCCCAGTGTTGGACGAAACGCAAGAAACTGAGGTAGAAGCAAGCGAAGTAATAAGGCCACCAGTAAAACGTAGACGCACACTCCTACCGATAGGATGGCCATTGCAGGTCCACTGAGCGCAGCCGGCATCAAGGTCTAAAAGACAGGCGATTACATCATTCACACAAATCGCCTGTCATGTATTAAAATGTAAGAAAAAATAAGAGATATATTGACAATAAATAATTAGAGGCGATTCTCAAAGTAGCTGTCTTTATACCATACAAATGTATAGAGTTTCTGTAGTTTTTAAAGTAATTGTAATCAAATTTAAGAGCTTGTAGATAAATCCCTGGTTTTATAGACCAACAGAATCACAGACTTGTCAAGAAACTTCCAAAACTGAAACCATTTTAGAGGTTCGTTTTTGTGATTTTAAGGAGTAAGTTAATAAAAGTCCTTACTGCGCAATGAATTCCACTATAAAATGAGCTTCAAGGAGCAATATTGACTTCTTATAGGTCTCATCAGCACCCTCAAAATACTCTAACCGTGGATGTTCGAGTTCAGAGCTAGGAACTAAGAGCACATTTTATGAATTCGTGGCATAATAAAATTCACTGCAAGTCTAAGTTTTCTATTCAATTCACCAAGGGCAATGCAATAGTGCTTGCTACAGTATAAGAAAAATCAAACATCTTAACGAGAATCGGATTCATGATAATTACAGACGATTTAGAATGTTAATTAAAAATATGGTACAAAATCGTGCAAAAGTTTTTCGAAGAGAATCTAAAATGTCAGACCAATATGATGTAATTTTGTGATCGTGCTCTCAAAGGCGATCCTTCAGCGACGGACCTTTGGACAAGTATATTTAACAGATTTCGATGATTAGAGTCTAGAATGAAGCACACAAAAATGGCAGATGCATTACGGAAAATTCCTCGAAAATACCATAAAATTGCAAGAAAGAGGTCAGACTAA